CGTACCACACACACCATACTGGCTCTAACAACATTTTGTTTCTTAGCGTCTTGCTTGCCAATACCAATGGCCGGTGAGCTGATTATCGGGTGGAGAAGACCTGCTGCGTCGCACTGTCTGTCGGATCCTGCAGAATCGCGAGTCTTCTTCTGTATGTTCTACTCGGTAGACCTTGTAGAGACCAGATTTGATTCACTGTTCCAATTGCACCAATGGGGAGCTGTCTTTTCTTTTCTCTGTTTTTACCTTGTCCTTGTTGTTGTGTCTTCCTCTGTCCTCGTGCGACCATATCTGTCACGAGGACATCTAACCCCGAACTTTTCTGTATTTAGACCTATAGCGCCAGCCTACCGACTGAGACAGTTGATACAGTGGCACGGTACTTTGAGGAGATGAACACCGTCGGTGATCCTCAAAGAATGATACCAGGCACGGGAAGTACATCACAGTCGTATATAGCCGGACCATTACTATTAAGGACGACTAACAGACTGCCCGGTCTTGGAGGTAAAACGACATGAACTTTCTTACGTCGTAGGTGGGCTTTCTTATCAATAACTTCACTTAATGTGACGCCATTTGAAAGATGCCTTGCAAGATAATTTATATATTTAAAAAGAAAGCTGAGATTAACTATAACCCGCTCGACGTAGTTGGCTGGGGATATTGAAACGTCACATGTTTAAACGAATCGCGCAGACCTCATCTCGGAAACTGTTGATGCTACGTACATTGTATATGGATCGTGTTAGCATTAATACTGCAGCTGGGGATGCTCTTCTGAATGCAGGTTGCAGATACCATATTATACCTACTGTTTACGCTTTAGTGGTTAGCAGTCACTTAGCAGTTTAAATCTGCATGAATACATCCTAGATCCAACTCGTGAACGAATACTCAGCGCTGCTGACTTATACATGTCCAGTGATATCGATGTTTGCCTATTCGTTACACAAACAATCGTTTTGCTTGGGTCAATTGTCACTATCCTATATAAAATATGCATATAAAAATTCATTTTAAGTACTGAATACTGTATAATTTAAACCCCTTCCCAGCCAATAGCTGTTTTTAGCTGGCTACTTGGGCAAAGAGAGTGTATGTGCGCTTACAGTAAATTTAGACATTTAATATTTTCATCTCATTATATTTAGGTACTGAGTGGGAAATATCGATGACTGCGTTACTTGTATATCTCCATGTCATCAGTGTCGGTGGAAGCTAGCACGAGTTGTCCTGACGAGTATTAGTACTGAATAATAAGGCAAACACAACCTACAAATGTAGCACCTATTGTTTTTCTCTCAAATAATTCGAATAAATATTTGTCAACAAATTGCACCTGCCGGGAATGGCCGTCGTATGAATACTCTAAAATAAATTTCTCCACAATGGCCCGCACAGATCAAAGTTATTTATTTGTCGATCTTTAATTAATATATTTTAAATTCATAAAATGTATTTAATTAGTTATAAAAGAAAATAATATTTATTTTCGTGTAGTCTAAAATAGGATTTGTTTGATGGTGTCTAAATAAACGACAATTGGAAGTCAAGCCAAAAGGCCTGGAGTTATACTATACGGCCAAGACCTTACTCCTATGGATTGCTTCAAAATAGGGATAAAAACACCCTTGACTAAAATATAAGGTCATTTATACGTCCCTGGTCATATGGATCAAATCTGTTAAAACACTAAGAGCTACTTTTCTGAAGAACCTAATGCCACATAATCATGAGTAGCCGGTAGCTTCAAATATTGAAGTTGTCAAAAGAAATGAGCTTGGCCTATATTCAGAATCACAGGCGTCAAACCTATAAATCCTCAAATTACTTCTTCCGAAGAACAAAGAAACCTACAGACATGCTATGGAGAATGTGGCTGGCCGGCACGAAGCACTAAATTGTTGAGATCTGAACAATGATATATAAGGCAGACTTATTAGCCAGAAGCTTGCTACAATATAATGTGTTTTGAGCACGATAAAAAAAGTGTAGAAAGCATGTTTCTTAATGAGTTATAACTTCTTACGTTTTCTCGGGGTACTTCCAGTCAGTTTTTAATTAACCTGCCCGAAGGGGTATTTCGCTGGTAGCTTCCTGTGACGAATCTCGACAAAGTGTACATATACAAATCAACGAGTCAAGAATATTAAAGTTTCAACAAAAACTCAATTCGAACTCAAAATCGATAAAACTTTAGCAAAATATGAACGAAGAAAAGAATTACATGGATACCATTGAGAAATTACAGGAACATAAGACCAGGTGTTCCGGAAGAGTAAGCTTCTTCTGCTTCATGACACATGTTAATCTATCGCATCAAAGTAATGTCAGTCACGTTTTCGCATCGAAAACTGAGGTAGTGATAACAAAAGCACAAGGCACAATAATGACATTAGTAAAAATCACCGACCTTCATATCACACAAACATCGACCTTTATATCACACAGAAATCGACCTTTATATCACACAAACATCGACCTTTAAAACACACAAACATCGACTNAAACATCGACCTTCATATCACATAAACATCGACCTTCATATCACATAAACATCGACCTTCATATCACACAAACATCGACCTTTATATCACACAATCATCGACCTTCATATCACACAGAAATCGACCTTTATATCACACAAACATCGACCTTTAAAACACACAAACATCGACTTTTATATCACACAAACATCGACCTTCATATCACACAAACATCGACCTTCATATCACACAAAGATTGGCCTTTATATCACATAAACATCGACCATCATATCACACAAAGATCGACCATAATATCACACAAAGATCTACCATCATATCATCGACCTTCATATCACACAAACATCGACCTTTATATCACACAACGATCGACCATCATATCACACAAAGATTGGCCTTCATATCACATAAACATCGACCTTTATATCACACAAAGATTGACCTTTATATCACATAAACATCGACCTTCATATCACACAAAGATCGACCATCATATAACACAAAGATTGACCTTCATATCACCTTTATATCACACAACGATCGACCATCATATCTCACAAAGATTGGCCTTCGTATCACATAAACATCGACCCTTATATCACACAAAGATCGACCTTTATATTACACAAAGATCGACCTTTATATCCCACAACGATCGACCATCATATCACAGAAAGATTGGCCTTCATATTACATAAACATCGACCTTTTTATAACATAAACATCGACCATTATATCAAACAAAGATTGACCGTCATATCACACACACATCGACCTTCATATCACACAAAGATCGACCATCATATCACGCAAAGATTGACTTTCATATCACATAAACATCGAACTTTATATCGCATAAACATCGACCTTCATATCACACAAAGATTGACCTTCATATCACACAAAGATCGACCATCATATCACACAAAGATCGACTATCATATCACACAAGGATCGACCTTCATATCACACAAGCATCGACCTTTATATCACACAAACATCGACCTTCATATCACACAAAGATCGACCTTTATATCACATAAACATCGACCATCATATCACACAAAGATCGACCTTCATATCACACAAAGACCGACCTTCATATCACACAAAGATCGACCTTTATATGACACAAAGATCGACCTTCATATCGCACAAAGATCGACCATCATATCACACAAAGATCTACCATCATATCACACAAAGATCGACCATCATATCACGCAAAGATCGACCTTCATATCACACAAGCATCGACCTTTATATCACACAAACATCGACCTTCATATCACATAAACATCGACCTTTATATCACATAAACATCGACCATCATATCGCACAAAGATCGACCATCATATAACACAAAGATTGACCTTCATATCACATAAACATCGACATTTATATCACACAAGGATCGACCTTTATATTACATCAACATCGACCTTCATATCACACACACATCGACTTTCATATCACACAAAGATCGACCTTTATATCACATAAACATCGACCATCATATCACATAAAGATCGACCTTCATATCACATAAACATCGACCTTTATATCACATAAACATCGACCATCATATCGCACAAAGATCGACCATCATATAACACAAAGATTGACCTTCATATCACATAAACATCGACATTTATATCACACAAGGATCGACCTTTATATCACATCAACATCGACCTTCATATCACACACACATCGACTTTCATATCACACAAAGATCGACCTTTATATCACACAACGATCGACCTTCATATCACACAAAGATTGACCTTCATATCACACAACGATCGACCTTTATATCACACAAACATCGACCTTTATATTACATAAAGATCGAACTTCATATCGCACAAACATTGACCTTTCTATCACGCAAAGATCGACCTTTATATCAAACAAAGGTCGACGTTCATATCGCACAAACGTCGACCTTCATATCACTCAAAGATCGACTTCATATCACACAAAGATTGACCTTCATATCACATAAACATCGACCTTCATATCGCACAAACAATATGACACACAGTTCGACTATCACATCACACAAGGATCCACACAGAAATCGACCTTTATATCACACAAAGATCGTCCTTCATATCACACAAACATTGACCTTTCTATACAAACATCGACCTTTATATCACACACACATCGACCATCACATCACACAAACATCGACCTTTATATCACACACACATCGACCTTTATATCGCACAAACATCAACCTTCATATCACACAAAGATCGACTTCATATGACACACAGTTCGACCATCACATCACACAAGGATCGACCTTTATATCACACAAAAGATCGACCTTCATATCACACACACATCGACCTTCATATCGCACAATCATCGACCTTCATATCACTCAAAGATCGACTTTTATATCACACAAAGATCGTCCTTCATATCACACAAACATCGACCTTCATATCACATAAACATCGACCTTCATATCACACAAAGATCAACCTTAATATCACATAAACATCGACCAGCATATCACACAAAGATCGACCTTTATATCACATAAACATCGACCA